TTTCAAACACAGTGAAGTAACAACTAGGGCACTTGTTAGTTCACACTCGTATCTGTACCTGTGATTGCGTTTTGTGCTTTGTTTTCTTGTTTAAACAGCGCGTTAAGTGTCGAGCGGTAATGTTGTTAGTTCGCTCTCGTCCTGTGTCATTTGTGCGTGAGCAGTGTGTTGCACGTTTCCATCTGCTTGCCGTTCTCAGCCTTACATTCCAAGTTGTTGCTATCGCATTTATTGCTCCGCCCTTGCGGCGAAACTGTGAAATTTTTTAATTTCGGACAACCGTGTCATCACCAATGAGAGATGTCAGATTAGGCGCTGACGGAAACTCTCCGAGACCACGGTGAAGATAGATCGTTGGAGGTCGACTCGTCATGCACTTCCATCTTGCGCCGCGCCGCGAGTTTGCGCAGGGTTGTAGCTTTCGCAATTAGCCCGATAGTACTGGCAACATGATAGGGCGTTGAATGCAATGTCATCAACCCGATAGCAAAAAATTGTAATGTTATAAGAAGTAAGGATGGCAGCCAACTTTTTTGGATATGATATCGCGGAACTCCTACAAACGCTGGTGTGAGCAAATACGGCTGCTCCAAGAAGAAGTGCTTTTTTCATACAGTCCCTTCGTGTTGAAACTGCACTGATACTCGTCGAGATAGCAAGCACGCCAGCAATCGCGACCGCCCTTAAAATCCAAGTTCATTATTGCTACTCGAGCGACCCCCCCCCCCCCCCCCCCCTTCCTTGCGTTGTTTCATGCTCATTCAAGACAGGTGGTTTACTTTCTGTTTGAGAATTTGAGGGCAGTTCTAACACGCGGGTGATGTAATCTTATGCACTTTCCAGGCGATAGAGATGGGCCAACCCATTTCATCTCTGCCTCAGCAGCGCTTGCCGTGCTTTTACCTACTTGTGAAAGTTGCGATGCGCCGGGGCATGTTATCAATTTGGACTTGTTACGGAACATGGCGACGACGACAAAAACGCACCAGAGTGTGTTCGTATATTTGTTATCGCTATAATAAGATAGTTTTTTTACTGTAAAATGAGTGTTTTGGGGTAGCTCTGCCTTCAGTCTCCTTTTTGTTTAATTTGGGCATATATTTTACTCATTTTCGTAACGAACCTGCATATAACGAAATCTTCTATACAATGAATTTTCCCGGCAATTCATCAATTTCGTTATATTGAGGTTTAACTGTAATAGCAATGCAGGTTTGCTTTGGTTATCTTTGTCAGTCTGATGTTTTCTTTGTTCTATTTCCTGCAGAATTGAGATATAATCGACGGCAGTTTACGATAGGCTTTAAGGAAAAAGTAATCGAGTATGCCGAAGCACACAGCAACAACCTGACAGCACAACAGGCATTCGGTTCATCGGAAAAAAGCATCTGATACTGGAGGAGCAAAAGCAGTGCATCACATCCTGCAACAAAAAAAAAAAAAAACTTCATTTTGTGGACAGACTGCAGTGCGTCCCGAACTGGAAGCGCTACTCGCTGAATTCGTCGGGGAGGTGTGCTCAAGGTCGCTACGCGTGACAGTGGAGTCGATCCACGTGAAAGCTGTCAAGATAGCACGTGACTCTGGGCTCATGAGGGTGCGATTCAAGGGCTCCCCGTCGTGGGTGCACTGATTTATGAAGCGAAAGGGCTTTGGGCTGAGGCAGCATACTTCTGTGTGCCAAAACTGCCCTAATATTTCGATAACAAGCTGTTCGATTATTAGAACCTTGTCATCGGGCTTCGTTGACAGCATTTCTATATGATGGGACACATTGGCAACACTGACAAAACTCCAATCTGGTTCGATATGTCCTGCTAACTTGACCGTGACAAGTGAAACTCTTGAGAACTGGCAACAAGCATTCGCGAATTAGAGCGATGCTCGCGTGCACAGCAGATAGAAAGAAGCTGCCCCCTTATGTCATTCTCAGGAGGGGCCTACCGAAAGAAGACTTTTCCCTGGGATGTTATCATGAGAGCAAACGAAAAAGGGTTCATGCATGAGTCCATTTAGAGTGGATCCGGCTCGGGTGGAATCGGCAACCCGGTGTGTGTTTTCATCGACCGAGCACGTTGGTGCTCGACTCATTTCGAAGCCACCTCACAGCCGATGTAAAGGGAGCTCTGTTCGATGGCAAGATGGACTTTGTCGTGATCCCTGGGAGAGTAACATAAATCCTCCGGCCACTAGATGTAGTGCTCAATAAACCCTTCAAAGATCGCGTGCCCGAGCTCTTTATTGAGTTGACGCTTGGCGACAATCACAAGACCATTGCTGGCTGCCTACAACATCCACCACTCGTGGCAGTTTCTGGCTGCGTGTTGTCGGCTTTTAAATATCTCCCGGAAGAGATGGTGCTCAAGTCTGTCTGCAAATGCTGCATCAGCAACGCATTGCAGTGGAACAGAGGACAATGCACTCTGGCACGTAACTAGTGAGAAACAGCCGTCGTCGGACTCAAGTTTGGACGAGTCTGTGTGGCAGCACTCTCTGGCTTTTTGGCGCTTTGCTGGTGTCGAAATAAAAAGAAACGTCTTCACAGTGCAGCTGGTTGTGTCGCGTATTTATCAAAATAAGGGTGCATCACGATACTTAGCGATATAGGCTTCAGAATCAACAAGCAGGCTGCGGTCGAGAATTTGGCAGAGATGTCATGTATTTCTCAACGAGTTATATGCGAGGATGTGAAAAGCCATGGTGGCCTGCTGAAATTTCTGATTTCAGAAAGTTGAAGGCGTCAGTGTGCCAAGCCCGGCATAGGTACGCTGCATACGTAGACGAACAAAAGAAACAAGCACTGTCACAGCAGGCAGCTTCGAAAACAAAAGAGCTCAATAAGATGCACGGAAGGAAGTCAATGCTTCAAAAAAGCTATGAACTGCCTGCTGAAATCTGCGGACCATTTTTCGGAAGGAGCTGAAGCGAAAAACGACTTTACCTACTTGGTCAAGGCAAACGGCTTTCATCAAACTACTAAAGAAAAGGAGCTTGAGATAGCTTCTGTAGAAAAAGAAATCCACACGAAAACTGCACTGTTTCCCTAAATCCTGTAAGCAAATCAATGTTTGCTAACACTCCTCGAATTTCGCAATGTCTCATCCTTGAAATCTTTGAAAACTTGAATTTTCAGTCAAATACGAACCCTGGTACTGGAAGAATAAATACATGCATCTCAGGCTATTTATAATGTAACCATCTACACCTGGAGGACCGGTTATAGGGCAGTTTTTTCTGACTCCCTTTAACCCTCCCCTAGAGCTTCATGTGTACACCTACCATTTATTGTACAGTTCCCCAAGATGAAAGACCAGTTGTAATGTGACTGCCGGGAAATTCTCAGAGAAGTGAGAAGCGAGGGGGCGAGCGCGCTTTTCTGTGGAGGTAGGCCGACTAAAATATGAGAGGACCCTGATTTGGGGGGGGGGGGGGGGGGTGGATTGGAAAAGGGGAGTGTAGCAAGTGCGTGGTGTCAAGAGGGGTAAAGGAATCTGCTTCAATGCTCCGACAACTTGTCATGCATGTTGCCGCCATTTGTCTCTTTGGTTTGCTGTTGGAAAAATAGTTGCGTCAACGTTGAGCACAGTCTACCTGTAACGATATCCATGTACCAACAAAAGCCCATTGTTGTAACCGATAATTGTTCTAAGCGGTCCGAGAAAAGAAAGACAAAAGAGAGGTCAAAACAATTTATTTGCATGTATGTAAGGTATTGCTACTCGGTAGTACTTGTTTTCTGAGGGTTTGATGGGGCATGAAGCTCGTAGCAGCACATGTCGTCAGTGCGAAGAGCCATTTTCGGTTCCATAGCCAGATTGAATTTCTATATCCAATATCATGGCTCTGAAGCATCATAACTAGTAGTTTATTTTACCATAGAGAGAATAAAAAAGTAGATGGTGCCATCATTAATCGTTACATGCAATATATATTGCATAAGCAGTATGGTTTGGACTCGACTGTATCACTTGTGTCAGCTCAATTCCCCGGCAAGTGATGATGCTCTGAAACACTATCAAGCCTTCGCGTTTGCTGCCAACACTCAGACTTACAAACTCAGAAGACTTTTTCAGGATAGTTTGCGCATTGTTTTGTGGACTGTGAACCGAAAGCTTGTTTCAACTGTGCTGCCCTCAGTTTAGCTCATGAAGTGCAATCTCTTCTACACCCAAGCTTCCTGTTGTCTTAAGCAAGCTTCTCAAAACGGCATGCGAAGTTGCAATCTTGTACACTAGGCCTAACGAGCGCTAGCTGCCTTTCAAGTAATAGACGTTGACTACCAAAGTTATTGTTTAATGCCGGGTCAATGAAACATTTTGCAGCTGTTGCATTTTGAAGGGATGACTTATGCGTTCAACATAAGCGAGGGCATTTGCACAGAACAGAAGTGGTGGTTCATGGTCAACACCGCTGTTTACTTCATGCACACGTGCAGAAAACTGAAGCACGTGAAAATTTTCACTCTCCATTTGACATGTAGAATTTGTGCAATGTGGTGTTGCAGCGGAGGAGGCTGCATGAGCATTGAGGTTCAAAATATTTGAGACTCTCTATGAGGACGCATTAAAAAAGTTTTTTCCCATGTTCATAAGTCAGAACTGCAGGTCCGTGGATGTTAACCATTCAACATTTTCAAATTTAGGTGGATGCAAAATTACATGCCATTGATCATGTTTCGCACACATGCTTTCAAAGATGTTGTTTCGATTGTAGTGCGGGTATTTGTGACTCCAGCAGTCAACATTATAAGTGGTCTATGTTGTATTTAAAATTGACTCTCAATGATACCTAAGCCCGGTAAGTTTTACCAAGACCGATCAAGGCGTGAGTGTATTGTCGAAACTTATTGTGGATATTTTTGGCCCTCTGAATGGTCCTGTGTGCATGTTCTTTCTGTTGCTGTCGGCATCATGAAACAGTTATCATTCCTAGCAGCTTCTTGGCTGTCACTGTCACTACGTCAAGCCTGAACAAATCGCCCATTTTTCCTTCCCATGCAGCTGCCGCTTCACAAAAAGCAGTCCCCGCACGTGACCGGCTGGGGCCCAAGTTCGCAGCGACCGCTAGTGTCATTCGGACGACAGTGCGCACAGCTGCATCCACTGCACGGAAGAGCAGCACTGTGGTGCCAACATCGAAGCGCGTTACTTTGGTCGCCCCCCGCGTGGGTTTCAGCGGTAGTACAGCCGCTCCACAGAGTGTCTTTGCTCGTCTTGGAGCAAATCGTTAGCAGTGTGGTGTCTTAGTAATGTCATTGCATTTCATCATCAACACTACTTCATTTTGTTCCCTCTCAATCACTTTCTCACTCGTTAGGCAGTTTTCTCTATACCCTGGAGAATTTCTGACCAATTTTGCATCAGTGTGTTGGATAAATGGAATAAATTAGTTTATTGAACGGAAGTCATGCGGGGGGGAAAGGGAAATGTCACATTTTTGCTTTGCATTGGATAAGCACTGGAGGGATTTGAGCATGTTTATACATGTGTTGAAAGGCATTGCAGTGCAGCAACAATGAAAGAGCCGAGATACGCTGGGAACGTCATTGCTCCTTTTTAATATTGAAGCGCTATGTCACCTTTGGAATGAACTGGAGGTTCTAGTTCATAATGTTATGCAAAAAATGCTTTTTTTTATTTTGCCTATCAACATAGATTGTTATTTACTTGGGAAACCAATATAATTGGGCTGGTTTGTATTAGTGAATACACTCAAACCTCATTATAGCAAACTTGCATCTTACATGAAAATAAGTTTGTTATATCTGAAAACTCGTTATAAAGGTTTATTCATAACACTAAATCTATTGTGAGATTGTTTTCAATTACTTCGTTATAACCAATATTTCGTTATATCTGTATTCGTTATATCGAGGCTCTTCAAGTTGATGTGTGTACTGTACGGAATGGAAGTGGGAGTATTTATTTCTAGACCAGCTCAGTCAACTTTTCTTTTTGTGTGATGTGTTCAGCTTCTCCGGGGTGGCCCGTCAAACATTTACTAGGAAACCATTCAGAAGGTGTCTGACAGAAGAGATGTCAGTGCCAATGGGGACAGGTAAGAAAATGCTTCGTTCAAAGTAACATGTATATCATGTTTCTTCTTGGTCATAGGATATGTTGTGAACACCATGTAAAAGCTGCAGCGTATTACTACTCCCCATTATACTTTTTCTGTATGGCCAAAAGACCAGCTGCTAAGTTAGCCTTTTCAAGTTTTGTTTGTGCATCTTTGCCAGGCCATCACTACGAGATTTCAGTAGCTCCCACCTGAAGAACCTGACTTTTCTGATAGTCTGTGCCTAAAGGTTGGGAAGGAAAAAAAGCTGTGTTTTACAATGCACTGAAAGCTACCTTCGTGAACACTTGTGTGGTTGGCCTGTGGGAATGGTATTTTATTCGCTTTTTCAGCACTAGGTTTTGATGTCTCAAAGCCTGTCTTCACATCTTTAGCTGTGCCCTATTAATCTGGTGTAACATGGTTGGTATTTCTGTAAATGTAAACTCTTCAGTATGGCGTTATCATGGTTCTAAAGCGTTTGATGGTGTTAAAAAGTAGGCGAAATGTAAAAGGGAGGGCTGCTATGGACATTGGCAGCTGGTCACAGGAACACCATGTGCTGAACACCTTGTGCTGAATGGATTTGTTAAGTTCTGCGAAGGGGTAGGTAACCCATGTATAAATCCACTTCCTGCCACCAAAATTCCAATGCTTGCATGATTGGTCAGCAAAAGCACTGTGTTCCCACTGCAGGTAGTAAATCACATTGTTCTACCAGGCAGGTCTGTCTAAAGTGTGAGTATCGTAAAGCAGTACTGTTTTGCCTCTGCCAGCTCTATTGGCCCTTTGCTTCTGTTATAAGCCAAAGTTTATGGCTTACTTTACATCAGTTCGTTTTGTTGCCCCTATTTTGTTGCCCATATTTAGTTGTTATAGCTCACCAGATTGACCAGGACTGCTACAGTGGCTACAGTCTGCTTGCAGTGACCTGGTCTGTTTCAACCATCACTTTATAAATGTGGCGCATGTGAACGAAAATTCGGAGGGTTGTGGGTTGAATGACGTCTCTCCGTATGTTTAGAGTCACGAGGGGAGGGAAAAGTAGAAGCAGTGGTGGTTGTCACTATTGCAATGCCACTTTTTCTTTCATGTGTTTTCATCACATCATAGGCGAGATCACTCGAATTTCTGTTGAAGCATTTTGCGTACGCACTGCCATGATCCTACTCGTTTTTCAAACTAAAGCCATGCACGAATCGCAGACGTACCTCGTCAAGTTCACATCCTTGTGTTCACATGCGATTTCTCAACTTTCGTGCGATGTCTTTGCAGAAACTACAGAAAACTTGGGATTTACAATAGTGCATGCAAAAATGGTTTGACACGTGTCTGCTGTTTCGTTACACTAAAGATGTTGTCAACAACATAGACAATGTTAATTCTATGCGTGTTATTCGTTCATTCATCAGCAGCAATGTCTCATGCTATCCTGCAGCATGGATTCATAATATTTGTAAGAGCATCATTTTTCATTCGAACGATGTCGGATTAGGTTTTGTTAACGAAACACTTCCATAGGTTGCTATTATTACACAATTGACTATGTAGTTATTGTATTTTTTGTTTAGTTTTTCATTTTTCCTCATCTACTAGCATCCATCTATGTAATTGGATCCGACTTGCATGTAAGCGTGCACGAACTGTGCAACCACGTGCACGAACTGTGCACGTGGTTGCGTATAACTATGAGCCACTTGTCGCTTCGATGATATTTATTCAAATAGCATCAGGGCAGATGAGTGATGGTGAGGAAGTTGCAAGGCTTTGTTGCCAAAGCAGTATTGTCAGTCAGCTGTCCTTGGCTAAATGTTTGTGCCGAGGAGGATGGGTTCATTGTACTCGAGTTCCTCAGCCATCTCCTACATTAATTTCTTCATTGTGTTTGCCTGTTATACTTGACACTACCTTTACGCACACTGCTCCAGGGCAATTTTCTTGAGCCCTCGTGTTGGCTTATTGTTTTACACGTCTTTGTTTGACTGCTTCGTATGCTCCTGCTTACATTCACATGTGCTGACATATGCTTCTGCATAGACAAGCGTGCACCATTATTCTCTGATTATTTGCTTGACAGCATCCTTGGTATTTTAAACGACTGATAAAACACTTCGCACTATGCCAAAATTGCTGTCGCTAAAATATGCATCGCCAAGGCACCATAAGTACCAGGAAAATGACATTTAAGAAATTATTGCCTGAAAACACTTCCCCAGCACAAGCACATGTTCCGATAGGCTTTAAGGCTACGAAAAAAAAAAAACATAACTGCAAACTAACCCTGCATGATTCAGCACTATCCACTTATCAAATATTGTGTGTTGATAACCATGAGAGACTGCTAACTTTGGCTCATATCCTGAGTGTCAGTCTGTGTATTTAGCTCGGTGCTTGCACTCATCTGGTACGTGTTCACATAGTCTTTTTCTTGCTGGCTGCGACTGTGTTACTGTGTATGCACGCATTGCTATGCACGAACGCACCATAACACAGCAGCATGCTGTTCATGAGAAAGTTCTTCGTTGTGGCAATAACCTTAACATAGCGCTGCAAGTGGCATTGATCTGGAAAACATGCTTGGCTTTGGCTCTAATTATTCGCGTCGTTGGGGAAGAAAAAAATCAATAGCAAGGCCACACAAGTGCTTTCAAACAGGGGCAAGTTAAATTTCAATGCTGCGACGTGTGCTCAGGGCACTAAATAAAATTTTGCCCACCATTTCTCAAGCTGACAAGCTGAAACAGGTCAATTGACCCATTCACTTATTTGGTTCTTATGGTGCATATTTTATATCATGTTAATTTTTACTGGTACAGTTACTGGTTCTGTTTACACTTCTTTTTTTGTTTTTGTTATTCAGCTACAAACGTTTGGTGCTTTGGAAGAGGCCATGAAGTTTTATTTAAACATCAATTCAAAAAGCGTTGCTAGAGCCATTCATATATCAGCTCAGTGATACTCGGTGTCATGACTGGAAGCCCTTCTCTGAGTCTTCCATTTGTCACGAAAGTGCCATTATTGTCACACGTGCTTGTGTCAGAGACCGCATCCACGCTCAAGGACAATGCCATGCATGTCATTTGAACTGTGTGTATTGTGTCACGGTAGCTAGGCTGGAGCAAATTTTTAGCCGAAAGCGTATGCTTTGCCACAAAGTCCAAAGTTCCTGTTAAGGAGGTGTCATGGTCGCTGTAAACATTCATGAAATACCGTGACGTGCCTACTTTCTTGGAAAAGAGCTCGCAAGAAACAGTTCAACTATTGAAAGCAGGCAACACTTTCTTGATTATCGAGTTTCATGCCAAACTGCTTCTGCACGAAACGGTGTGACATTCATCGTCCTAGCCTCGCGATGGCATTTTCCCTTTGTTGGCATGCGGTTGTATTCTGTTTGCGGCTGGAAGTGGAATGAAATATGACTTTGATTTTCATTGTTCGTTTGCCGTTTGTGGTAATCATTTTCGGCATGCTTTCTCATGCTCTCATGTTTATCATGCATTAGCTAGGCCATATAGTAAAGTAATTGCCCGAACTTAAGGTGTTATCAAGAGCAAGCCAGATGCCGCAAAATGCAGAGGTGTCGCACATTCCATCGACGTAATCCTTGTGCATAAAGAAATGCTCAATGCAGAAGTACATAGAAGTGCAGTAGAATGTACTTGAACAAAACTTGAAGAGGCTGAGGAAATACTTTTACATACTGCATGACAAGTGTCTTGTTTATTGTGAAAATAGTGCTGCGGCAGTCAAATCCAGAAACTTACAAAATGAGAGGCAACTGTTTGTTTAAACAGCATTTCTGCTTAAATGATTTTCATTTACTGAAATTTTGCTCTAATCTGAAAGGGGGGGTAGGCAATGAGGAGGAAAACAAAATTAGGCATGCTGGGCTTAAGAATGGAGGCATTTCATTTAGAAAGTGCAAACACCTAAAACAATAGTTAAGTTAGGTTAGTTAGTGCAGGAAGATGAGTGGTTCAGTTTCATGGAAAAATGAAAATGACAGAAAACTGCATAGTTCTGACTTTTAAATTCTGTAGTACCAGTGCTTATGTTCATGAAAACAGCACAAGCCTGCTTAATGAGAAGAGAAACACTTGCAGCATGCAAGGCATTTGGAGCAGGCAACTAAGCTTTCTCGATTAACTGAAGTAAGAGTCAGTATTCTTTATAAACACTTTTGAGAGATTTGACATGATACAACACAGTGCTTTCTGGCGTGTACAACCAACAGTATTCCTGGTGCTGTACCAGATCTGTCAACTGTTGATGCATTTGGTGTCGAGTCAAGCGAAATTTTGTTTAAAGGGCCACTCACCAGGTTCGACAATTTTGACCTGACAAGCACAATGCGTAGACGAGGCTTTCATGCTCACGTCTGCCAAACTTTGCAACGCTACGCGCCGCGGGAATGGGTCAAATTTCAAGATGAAAACTGCTCCACCTCTCTGCCGGCACACGCGTAGAGAATGAGGGCATGACATAGGCGTAGGAATGGCCCTATGTACACGGAAATTCAGTGACGTTGGTCCTCTACGTAGACGAGTCTGCTCTGACGTCGTCAACAGTATACCACATGACATGGCAAAAATTATTTAACACAACATGGGTAGTTTATGTGTTTGTTGATTTAAGAGATTAATAAAACTTGAAATAAATAATGAGACACAATAAAAAATTGTGCGCCTTTTTCTTTTTTTTCTCGTGAAATGCTACGAGATGGGGAAGCTAATGTGCCAGCGTTTCGCATGCGTTCGTGTACCCGCGGTCAGCGCATTGAGCAGACGACCGCCATGGAACGCTCCTACGTGTTCGCTGCACTCATTGTGCTCATCTACTCTACCGCGTATAAGCCAGCGTTTTCAAACCATCCTGCAGAAACATGCAGAAGACCACAAAATAACCCTGGTCAACAAAAGCAACGCTGCTCGCGTGCTTGGGTGTTGGACTTGTTTGGGCACGTCATGGGCACGTCATGCGCACGTCACCTCATGGTCTGGTGCTGCAGAGGGTGGGGAAGAGATTTAGCATGCGAAGGCTACGCGGACGAGTGGCAAAGGTTTCGAGCTCGCCTCCTCCCAGCCTCGTTTTCTGCCGCTTCAAAAAACCTGTTTTTTCCGCTCGTAATGAACCGATTCGAAAAATTTTTGTGGCAAAACGTTTCTCATCGGACACCCAACAACTTCCACTGTCTAACTAAAATTCGGTATGGGGCCTAGTGAGTGGCCCTTCAAGTGAGAGTGCATATACCTTCAAACTTCGCCGAAATGAATGCACATCTGACACAGAAATAGCTTCGTTATAGCTTAAATTTCATTATAAACATATATTCATAACACTATCTTTGACAAGGCTATTCTTCATTTATTCCATTGTAGCCGACGGTGTGCTATATCAGTGTTTGTTAAATCCAGGTCTGAGCTTATCTGCTAGTGATTGTTGAAGAATACCAGTCCAGATTAGTATACGTTATATCTATCAATTATTACATGCAGCCCGCATTGCCTTGCTTGTGTAGCTACCAGTGATTTTTTTCTTTTACCTGGTGTAAATGCTGTAAGAATTTTTTGTAATGTCCTTTCCATGTTTCTTTCCTTGATTTTATCCAGTATGCCTATGATGACCTCTTAGTCATGCTTTTTTTTTCATGCAGATTAAGCAAGTTTGTTTGCTATAATGTGCACACGTCTGTTTCAAGGCGTATAGCAGAATTTTCAAAGTGTCAACGAAAAGATGTCTACTTTCTTTTTCTACACTGTCATTCTTTACTAAAGGGAACACGTGATAGTGTAGCCTACGCTCTGCGGGGGCTGCCTATAGCACCATCTACCGACAACTAAGCCAAGCACGCCAGCCTTTGGGGTCATCTATTTGCAAACAAAATACTGAGTCAGGGCCGTTGGACAAGTGCTGCTAGATAACGCTCCTGCTCCTGTCTGATAACGGATGATGCCGCCAAAAAGTGGGCATTTTTATAAAGAGACGACAGTGTACTGTAGCAGTACAATTAGTGGTTTTAGTGCTCTATATTGGCAAGGCACAGGGAGCAACTTACCCGAGAAATTATCGAAGCAGAAAGAATACATGTGCTAGGAAATAAATGCGTAAGCACTTCATCGGTTGCTTTATCCCAGGCTGAACGCGATTACCTGGCTGGGCTTTGAGGCATTAGAGGACCTGTCACACGTGCTGTTACTGGTGTGTAGATTGGGCTTGTTTTTTACATTTATGCTCTGTAATCTTCCTTTTTAGACGTATAAATTCTTGCCACTCTGCGAAATAAAGTTAGTTGGAAGTCAGCGCTCTTTCTGTCTACCCTGTCCTTTTTTCCTTTATTCGCGCGCTGAAACACCTTGCAAATATGAGTAGTGGTTTTAGATGTGGCACACTTGAACATAGTGTGGCTACCCTGACTGGCTTACAATGTACACTGACTCTTTGTTCATTCATAAATTGCATAATTCACTACACACTTCATATTGAGAGTGGCCTTTCTATGTCTGCGTTGTGTGTGTATTTATAAGTCAAGGTGGACTGAGAAACTGTCATTAAAGTTATATGCTTTCGTTCACTGCATCTTGTTTGTCATATGCAACTATGAATCCATTTTCTCGCACAGTGACAGCATGCAAAAGGGCTCGCATGGACAAAGGCACGGTGTAGTTTGGTGCAGTTTGCTTATTATACAAAAAAAATTGTGACAGCCCAAGGACATTTCATGCCTACTTCTACTCAATTACTTAAAGCCGGGCATATTGAATAGTTTGGTAGCTGCACAATTGTCCCGCAAATTCCAAATTTCTAAATTTTTGTTTGCTGTGTTAGAACAAAAGATGTGAATATTTAAAATGAATTTAGCAGATTTCTTACAGGGTTTTGCAGCAGCTTCCCTTTGTCGAATGCTAATTATATGGCAATATCGCGGGAGAGCAGGTCACCAACTAGACCGTCTCTCTAGCAGGACCCCCTTTCCGCGAGGTCCTGCCAGAGATGTTACTTCGTTAGGCTAATTTGTGTTTTGACATAGAAACCACCGTCAGTTGTGCAATGAGACAGGACACGCAAAAAGGAACAGAGTCTGTTTGTTCTTTCTTGTTTGTTCCGTCTAGTTGCTCAACTCGCGATAGTTTCTATGCCTAAATAAGTCTCGACTTTGGCGTCCGTCCCGGTCATAGCATTAAAGGCACACTAAAGTCAAATAACAATTTACGTTGGAGTGAAATGAAAATTCAATGTATGAGAACATCTAAAGCATATTATCAAGAGTAGTGCCATACTTTCCGAGAAATTAGGGTGAATGCACAAGAATACATTCTCACACAAGGACATTCTCAAAATGGTCGCGATGACCTCAGACGAACCTCCTACAATCACTAGTAATGGATCTAGCTGCATTAAATAAAAACCTTCTGTGCATCAAGAGATGCAATAAAATTCTGCTTGTTCGTTTCTGCTTGATGCATGGAAAACAGAACCGGTGGACGTTACTATGACGAATGGCGTGAATTGTACAAAAATTCAATTTTCCCGTGGTTAAACTGGAGAGGTCCTGTCATCTAGCGGGGTCCATTTGAACCAAACATGTCTGTGATCTCGGAGCCAATGGCAAGATATTGTTCAATAGTCGCTGTTGCTGCTCTGTCTCCTGCTACTTTTGTTCTGCTGCTATTAGTGTCGGTGGCCTGCAATCAAGCTGGGCTACGTTGTGTATGACAACAGTGAAGTGAGTTTTCAATTGAGGCGGGTAATTTGTACTGTGCTAACGTAATTCGGACCACTAAAACGTGATTTTATTTCAAGATAAGTGCTTTCTTGGCACCCACGTAGCACTACTTGGTTTATGGACCACTATTTCAGCAATCCACATCGACTTAATGTTTGCTTTTAGTGCCCCTTTAACGCAAACACGGTCGCTATTGGTGGTTTGGTAAACAGAGCAGCGGGATCTTTATGAACTGGGTGCCCGTGCTTCGCACATCCTCACGTCTCAGCGTGGTGGAGTTTGATTTAGCGCAGTATTGAAAACTACACCAACAGCCGCACAAAACGACATTTTCTTAGTTTCGAACCGCATGCTTTTTGTCAGGACAATCGGGTTCTTAGCGAATGGTGGGAAGTGTTCAAATATGCCCCCCCCCCTCCCCTCCCTCCGAACTGTTTAATTTTGCACGCGTGTGTATAAATGCACACACAACTAACAAAGACAAACACGGCACTTGCAGCAAATTTCGTACCTCTTATTGCAGCGAGCTTCGTCTTCCTTTCTTATAGTCCCGCTCCTTGCATACATCACCCGCACAGAATCGTGATTAAGTCGTGACGTGTGGCGGGGACCAGTGGTGCGTGATCAATATCGCAGAAACTCGTCCTCCCTGCCTTCTCTGCGTTTCGTTTCAATGGGTCCACGAACTTCGTGAATCGCGATGGCACTAATGCTGACATGAGTACTCGCTGATTGATATGTGGGGTTTAACGTCCCAAAACCACTATATGATTATGAGAGACGCCCATGAGTACTCGCTACGATAGTCACATTGGTCTTGGGCAACGGCAAAACGAAAGTGTAAAACTTGACCATTCGCCTGGCGAGGAAGGCGCTTTGGTACAGGCGAACAAGATGTCTGTTGTAACTTAGTATTATGCTGTTTCGCAGGACGACCGGTATTCTTGTCGCCTGTCAATTTTTGTATAGAATGAAACCCCGTTATGTGTGATCATCAACACAGTCGGTTTATTCGACATTCGTTCGAACTGCGGAGATCGAAAATCGTATCATGGCGCGCAAACACGGATACAAGTAATAAGTGTTAGCACGCCTTTTTTTTTTAAGTGAATACTTATTACCCACAAGCTCAGCTCTTTCTGTTATTCTGGAATAAAAAAAAAATAATCAAAGCCAGTGCGACTCCCAGCGAAAGTGTTCGAACTGGACAGCAGTGATTGGCTTGTGTTCTCCTGCGTGTACGTATGTTGTATTTATCTGTTCTATCCTTTTTGTTTGTTTTCTTGTGTTTGGCTGCTCGTTTCCGTTCATTTCGTGAGATTGTGTGATATGCTCCATCATTTTCTGTTTTCATGTGATTGATTTTTTTTTAGCGATTACCTATTCTTTTTTTTTTCTGTTCAGTAGTATCTCTTTCACTGTTTTTCCATGGCTTGCTGTCCTGACAGTGACGTATCGGGTTTCTTTCAACCGCCATTGAACTTAAAATCAAACTGGTGCATTTGAAGGATGCGGGCACACAGCTGTGATTACGCTCACTGTTGAAAGTCCAGTTATCAGTTATTGACCTTGCTTAAGTAATTGTG